CTCCTGTGGAGTCCGGAGCCACGAATAACTTCAGTCAACAAGGCTATCGGGAGAGGCAGCTCTCTACGAGGAGCCCCTTCCAGCAGCGAGCCCCGATGCCGCGGGTCCCACCGACCCCCTTTTGCGGCCAGAGTTCAGCTGCTGCCGCCAACGGCTCAGTCCGGGTGAAACCTGACGCTGCGAGAAACGGCTCCGTAGCGCCGGCATCGCATGTAGCATGGGAAGGACGCTACAACAGGAAAAACAGCCGGGGCTGTATCACGTATGCCTGACTTATAAAGGCTACCTAGGATCCTGCTGTCAGCGCAGTCCAACGAATCCCAGTTTCTTAAGAGCACACATTTAATTAATCTTAACCGGCAACGCTGCAGACGAATACATTCAAGTTTCTACTTACTCTCGTCATTGGGAAAAATTTAAGACGCTTTCATGCCATGGGAACACAAGATCCGCCCCGTGAGCAGTAAAGTCAACTGCTTTTTTGAGCCATCCATCCATACCGCTGACGGATGCTACTCCACACGCAAATACCGTAAAGACAGTACGCATTCGTATCGGTGGTTAAAACAAAACAAAACAAATCCTAGATTATTTTTTGACAGGAATTCCCCCAACAAGTTATCCGTGATATTCCCACCTAAAATACTACTTTTGCTCGACTCATACAAGAAAAAGCGCGCGCGTGTGCGCACACACACCCCCCCGCCAACCCATCCGGCGTGCTCTTTTAGTCCTGAGAAAAGCCGAGACGCGCTGGAAAGCCTCAGGCCCGGCCAGGGGCACGATGAGGAACCGCACAATAAGGAGCCAAGGGTATGAGGCTCAGGTCGGGCATACTTTCACAAAGGCAAACCACTTACATCATGTTGCTAATTTTGCTACCTTAGCGAGCGGCGCGCTTGTCGGCTAACCCCACCTAATGCTGCAGGGCATATTTTTCCGTTGGAGAAAAAAAAAACCCATGCTAACAAACCGCATCACAGTAACGAAATCCGAGGCAGGACAGGGCATGATTTTCAGGGGTTTTTCTGCTTCGCCAAAAGGAGGATTTAACAAAGGCTGCTGTAACCGTAAAAGCTAATTACCGATCCACCGCTGTAAGTTACCACTTAAAATTCTAATGATTTCCAGCGCAATTTTATTCAGCCTTTGAGAAGAAAGGTTTGTATTAAGAGCGGAAAGCTTATCCCGTACAACGAGTTTCGAGAGGCTTGCGGCCGACTGGCAGCCCACAAAAGCCACTGGGAACCACACCGTGCGCAACAAATTTGTTAAGTTTTTGGGGAATGCGCGTGGTTTTCTTGCTACAACTACTCCGGTTGATTGCTTTCTGAGGTTACGCGCCGTGGTGCCTTAAAACAAGCTCCAGAGCTGGTAATTAACACCAGCGTGCTGCTGCTGTTAATACATACTGCACTTGGAAAAAGAAACCAAACCAAAGTCCTACCTGCCGGAAAAATAACAACCCAAACCAAAATGCTATTAGTATTAAATTACAGCAACAGGAGAGGAGTACAAAACCAAAAGGTTGAGAGGAAGGAGGGTACCGGAGATGAAAATTACAGTGGGCCAGCGAGCGATGAAACGGAAAGGTTTTGCCATTTTCCTGGCTCTAACCTGACTCACCGCGCTCAGCAGTAGCTTGTTTTGATGAGAAACTGCAAGCGGGGAAGGGTGCAAGTGCAGTGCAGGAGTTCAAGGGGGTTCCAGAAACAACAGCGCGCGAGGAGGAAGAAGGTGGCGGCGGCCGCGCAGAAGAGGCACGCAGAGCCACGGCCTTCAGCCTCCCCACCTCAGCTGCGCTTTTTATCGCCGCGGGGAAAATGGCTATGAAGAGGGCTAAAAACCCACAGGCGGCAGCAGGAACAATGCCCGCATTCCTGACTGAGGCTTTCACAAACCGATATCCAGCAAGGGAAGAAGCGGCGGCCAGCGAACTCTTCCTCTGTCACCGCGTGCTCCTGCACGTTAGGCACTGTCCCGACACCATCCCTGCGCAAGTGGGAAACCGCTGCCGCACAAATGCAGTTTCTAAACGCACACTGAAAAGGTCGCCACCTTCTTCCCACCCGTGGCTTTAACGCCGGCCTCTCAGAAGGGTTTCTCTCGCGTCCCGAGAGCGCAGGGATGCTGCAGGGAGGCGCAGACGCCCGTGTGAGTCTAGGACACGCCGGGCTGCAGTCCCCTGCGCACGGACGCCGACCTCGTGAGCCGAGAGCGCCGCGGAGGAGCGGCGAGCCAGGCGTCCTTTTCAGCGCTCGCGTCCGGATCCTCTGAGAGACAAGTTACTCCGAGCCCTGGAGTTTAAAAGCAACGGTTTTTGTTAACGGGTATCAGAAGATGCTGGTTTCGTGAGAGGGGAAGGAGAAAGCCCGTTCCTGCTCGTCGCAGAGGAGGAAGCCGTCGTGAGACGACCCCCCCGAGTCACCTGCACGCCCTCCCCACGGAGCAGGCGGGGCGCATCCTGAAAAACAAAT